CCCAGCCCCCAGCACCCTCGTGCTGCTCCCGCGGGATGAAGCTGCTGGAGGGCGGGTGCTCACATGTGGCATGGCGGGAGCGGTGTGCCGGGCAGCGTGGGGTGCCAGGCTGGGAGCGAGGGCAGCCCCCACTGCAGGCAGGGCCCCACAGGCAGTGGTGGGGGCAGGGCTGGGTGCTGAGTGGGATGGGAATGCATGGGTGCCACTGGGCTCTGCAGCAGTGCCTGGTCAAGCTTGTGGGCTGGCATGGGGTGGGGGCGGTCCTGCTGGGTGCCCCCTGGCAACACTGTGAATGTGCTGGAGGGGAACCGCTGTGCTGGGGACCGGCTGTGCAGAGGTGTCCTTGTGTCCTGCCCAGCAGTGGGGACAAGGGGGTGGGCTCTGCAACAAACCACCTGGGCCCTCCCTGGGATGGAGATGTGGGCATGGGGCTAGCTGTGTCCCCAGGGGCCACGTGGCCCCAGAGGCATCCCCCGTGCAGGGAGCCCGGTGAGCATCGGCAGCCCTCAAAGCGCTGCCAGCCAGTGTCAGCATCCCCAGGGTGACAGAGTGCGGGACCCTGGGCAGGGAGACCGGTGCTCCCCGAGAGTGGGCAGAGCTGGGGGTGAAGCGGGGCTCCCAGTGCCCACCAGCTGGGGGTAGGAGAGCAGAGGGGATGCCAAATCGTCTCCCTGCAGAGGGGACTCAGTGTCGGGGGCACGTGGGATGTGGGAGCGTGGCGGCACCGGGCACCAGCAGTGTTGGTGGGGCCATGCCGGTTCTGCCCCCCTGATGAGCTGGGGGTGCTGGCAGCTTTGCGGGCGCTCTGCTCTCCCTGCGGTGCTACAAAGCCCCAGCTCCCACGGCCCCCCGCAGCGCCGCCGCTCCAGCAGCCTCCCCACGCACCCACGCTGTCCTCGAAGAGGAGGAATAATTGGGAGAAACCATGGCAACCCCCAGTGGTGCTGGGGATGCCAGCTCTGTGCTGTCCCCAGGTCCCCCCACTGCCACGGCCTCGAGTGGCTCTGCGGGCAGCAGGGTGCTGCCAGGGTGGGTGGGGGACATGCTGGCACCCGTGGGATGCAGTGCCCACGTCCCCCAGGCACAGGGATGTGCACGGTGGCCTCGCTGGGCTACAGTTTTGTTTGGCTCAGCAGGACTGCATCGGTAGGGCCTCCTCGGGGTGTTTGATGTCCCCCCAAGGCACCCCGTGGCCC